GTAAGGGACACGATAAATTCACAAAGGCTTGTGGTACAAACATGCATAGCAGGACAATATTCGACACTTCTGAACAAACGCTGCAAGGCGCCTTTCCCAACGAAGGTACATTTCTAGTGCTTCATTAAGCCGCACCATGCCGACCAAAACGCCCACCGCAACCGCCCGCCCACAGCTGGCCACACAGTATCGACGCTTGTATGCTTATCGCTTCTTTAATGAAGTAAATACAATTCATATGAAAACTTGTTGAATGGATGTATGAATAGACACTTATAGCCGTATTCATCAAAGCGGTTGTTGGTATGATGCCGGGAAACACGTAAAAAAATGCTCGTCCAATGCCGCGCAAAACATCCTGCTTTTGTCTCTATCGTCTTTCAGCTCATCTTTCTATAACCTCGGCCCTTGATTCTGGCCTCTAACCCACACACCAGTGTCTCGCTTCTTCAGATACTCGTCCAATCCTGAGTCCTGAATTGGAATTCCTTCGAGGGTTTTGCCCACTCCCTTTATTCACTGAGAAGTCAACCAGCATCTACGATCGGACGCCTCTTTGAGACATGATGGTCCTGTCTGCAAGCATGGAGGATGCACTACTGTTGCAACTCAAATGTGCGTGAAAAAGCCAGACCCGCTCGCGACGAAGAAATCACACTGAGTTCCGCAACGCCCACCTTTATTTTCTAATAGCTTGTTGCTAGTGTGGTTGTTCCGCTACTAACTCTCTCCATTTTGAATGGGAAGAATGACGTGATAAGGGAGAAGGCTGGCATCGAGAAGTGAGAACTCGTCCGAACACGCCCTTTCTTCGTCTTATGCACGTAGAAGTGCGGCTCGACAAGGGATTTCAAGTAGACAATTCTCAGCGAGTTTGTTTCTGCTTATCGTTTCATTACCCTCTTGAAACCACCTTGTCATCCGTATCTGAGCCGCACAACTTACCATTTTTGGACGGAGGGCGTGCCTTTAAGTTCATGAGTGTAAATGTGCGCACATACTGGAGTGCACTATTGCCTGGATCACTCTGCAGCCTGTATTCGAAGTCAACAAGAGTCGCTACCGCGTTGCAACAATTCCGGGGACACGCCCCCTCTAAGGGCCAAGGTAAGGCGGCACAAGTCGACAGTAACCGAACCTGCTTCCAAGCAAACGAAGCTACAAAGTCAGGTCGTATTTACGGTGATGATGAACGCGGAAAAAAAGTCAACGTTTCCCATAGAAAAGTAGTGTCGTCTTAGGGATAACTCACATATTCGGGAAGCGTTTTTTCCATTGCTTTATTTTCCGTTCGATATTAGGCGTAGTTTTGGTCAAATTCACAAGAAGATGAGGAATGCGAAATTGTCTGGCCTTTGGATTGACTGTTTTATTATTCAACTTTATTGCTCTCTGAAAAACAGCCATTTCGCACAAACAAGTAGCGTCGCTCAAAATTGTGTCGTTGTGAAAAAATGGGCCACTACAGTAAACGTTCAACTACCGGGTTTTAATTCTTCCGTTTCCGCAGTCATTCATACCTGCTATTACCAGCTTGTACGCTCCTATACCGCCATACTCTCGATGAGCAATCTGCCACCTCTCCTACCTAATCATACTGTACTAGCTGCCAGCTACCCTCCTCTTGCGCCATACTCTCCTCTCCCGGAAGCTGGTAGGCGCTGGTGCACGCCGGCACACGCTCGTAGACGCTCAATCGATACCCATACTTCCCAAGCCCTCGAGACGATGGCGGACGCTGGTAGACGCCGCCGAACGCTGGGAAACGATGGTGGACGCTGGTAGACGCCGCCGAACGCTGGGAAACGA